TGCCTTGGAGTGAGGACCAGGGAGGGTGGAGGAGGAGGAGAAGGTCTATGTCAGCTTTCTGCTACCCAGACTCTGTCCTGTGCCCACACACGGTTTACAGAAGAGGGGGGAGTGGGATCGTGTGTTCATTTTGGAAAGCAAGGACGCGATGCACACGACTGGTTTGGAGGTAGTAAGTCACCATCATTGTGTCTGAAGCTCCAAGGAGCTCCCAGTGGCACTGTGAGTGGAAAATGGCTTTAAAGGTGGGTCCTGAGACATCTGAATCCCGGACTTAGTACTGTGAGATTTGCTGTTTCTCAGTTTCCTCGTTGTCAAGAAACGGCCTAACTTTGTAAGGTCCTTGTTAAGTTCAAAAGGAATAAACTTTAGACTAAATGATAAAAGGTGAATATTATTTAATAACAATTGCATTAATTCCTGGGTACTTCTGTGAGTTAGTCCCCACTGTCCTCTCTCCCTTTCTTCAGGATTCCCAAGTCCTTTCCTTCAGCTTTGGAGACATTGTTCAGGATCACATCCCTTGCTCATGCCCATTGTCTGAAACAGTCTAGTTCTCTCTCTCCATAACACGAATCTGTATTTTATCCCACTAGTCCCTTCCTGCGTTTTAAGTCTACCTTAGTGCTGCCTCTTGTCCTTTGACACTTCTGACTTGATCTCTAAGAAGTAGATCGCACGCATTTATGCCCCCTGCACAAGCTGAATTTCATATTTTCTGAATCATGAAGCTGCCCTCCATGTGACCCAGAAAGCCCTTTGATGATCCATATTTAGCTGTATCCATCACTCAACAGATGTCTGGGTAAAGGCTCCATGAGCTCCCTCTACATCCTGTGGTTTCAAGTTCCTGAGCTGTTGGTTAGAAAGCTTTCATCCCCCTGCTCCCTACCCACTCTAGAACAGAAGGACAAATATCCACATTAGCTGTTCACTTATCCATGAAAAGATATCTTCTCATTGACTACTACAAGCTTGATGTTGAGCTGGACAATTTTCCCTGCTTTCAGATTTCTCCACTTGACTTTTACTCATGTTCTCTATACATCCTGATCATTCTTCTAGAATTACAGCTGTCACTTAATTAATACCTCCCAGCTACAATCTTTTTTGACTTCCATGAGACTTGGAGTCTTACTGACAAGAAGATGCCTTGTTATCATGCACCTCTTTTTGCACCTTCATATTTCAGGATAAAACAGGTTCATCATGGCTCTGTCCAAGGGGCTTTGACTAGCAGATGAGCCTGTAGGTCTCTGTTGTCTTGTACCACATATGAAGGATGAGGTGGTACCAATAGCGGACTGCCCAGTAGGTTAAGTAGGTTATTTCCCAAACCCCTTGGCCTTCAACATCCCTGTCTCCAATAGAGATGTCCACAAGGAAAACTATTTCTCTGCTTCCTGAGCACTTTGGATCTTCCCATTAGATCTCTTGGCATCTGAAAGGCAGCCTGCCATTCTGTTCCCGGAACACAGATGGCTCAGCCCACACCTATCACTAATGAGGATCACACGCAGAGCCTCTTTTTGGGAGGCTCTCTTAACAACCCAGCCTTCACTCCCCTTGTTGGCTGGTCACTGTTGACTGCGGAATTTAAGCCTGAAAAGACTGTTTGCTGTTTTCCAGTTACAGAGCAGAACAAAAGCATATTAGGTCGCGTCTGGTTCCCACTCTGGTAGAACCTGAAGACACTGAGGATTAAGGGATGGATGCCAGTTGAATAGCAAGGTCAGGGTTTGGGAATCTAGCTGCTCATGAGGGTGAATAGGACTAGAGGTGAGATTATTCAGTAGACTATGATTAGATGGCCATACTAAGGTTGAATAGATAGGATATCAATCTTTCAATGCTGGGTCATTTCATTCAGGGTACTAGTTGAGTTGAAAACACTTTGGTAAGAATGATAGGGCCACAATACCCCATGGGAAAGCATATGCTTTGATGAGACAGACAAATCCTTGCTCTGCTGCTATCTGTGGGAAAAGCATTTTTCTTTCCTATGCATAATTCTCTTTTCTGTAAATTCAGTCTGATGTTCATGTTCTAGATGACCTTGAGGATTAGAAGGGGTAACAGTGAAATACCTTGTAGTAACAGGCAGCTAGTGAGGTAATGGATAGGAATTTCCGTTTTTATAAAATAGCCATTTATTTTTTTCTTCTCTGAACAGAGTGTGGAAATGTGTACTCCAATGTGGTGGGTCATCAAGGAAAACTGAAAACCAGTTCTGCTCTCTGGTTTAAAACTTGATTATGGGCCAACCAGATGGCTCACTGGGTGAACGTCTTCACCATGCAAGCCTCATACTGTGGGTTTGATCCCCAGAGCTCAAGATAGAGGGAGAGAACTGACTCCTGGAAGTCACCCTCTGAGATCCACGTGCTCACTCCCCCTGCCCCCCCCAGCTTTTTCTTGTTATCACAGTCCAACACAGGTCTTACTAGGAGACTTTCAAACTACTAATTTCTCCTCTGGACAGCTATAGTCTTTAGAGGTGGCTTTGTTCTCTGGAGTTACACATGTGATGGCAGCTTCTGGGTTTCCTTTTCACTCGATACCCTCTTTAAAACTCCTTTCTAGTCCCTTCCACACTTGAGAGGCAAAGAGTCCAGGTCCTTGATTCTTGCTTGAAGGTGTGTATAGGATTGCAGTAAAAATGGATACTCTCTTAGAAGAAGCAAGAGCTTCTTACTTGGTACTCTGTCCTCCCAGTGACTCAGGAGGTGGAGTCAGGAAGGGCATTTGAACCGGGTTTAAGGCAAGTCTTGGCAACATGGTAAGAATCACCCTCCACCCCCATGTCAAAAAAAAAAAAAAAAGCAAAAACTGTTTATAAACAAAACAAATGCCATTTTAAAGCAGAGGCTTCTTTTTTTTTTTTTTTTTTTTTCGAGACAGGGTTTCTCTGTGGCTTTGGAGGCTGTCCTGGAACTCACTCTGTAGACCAGGCTGGCCTCGAACTCACAGAGATCCGCCTGCCTCTGCCTCCCGAGTGCTGGGATTAAAGGCGTGCGCCACCAATGCCTGGCTAAGCAGAGGCTTCTTTCCTAGGAAGTAAGTTTGGAGCAATCATTTCAGAGAATGGTTACTTCTATGATCATCTGAGAGCAATACAAACTGGTTTTCTCAGGGGACAGAAAACTCCATGTTATTTATCTATTGATTGTCTGTTTAATATATGAGTGTTGTGATGGTGTGAATGAGAATGGCCCCCGGAGGCTCCTAAGTTGGAATGCTCAGTCCCCAGTTGGCAGAACTGTTTGAAAAGCTTTAGGAAGTGTAACCTTGTTGAAGGAGGTGTGGTTTTATTAGAGGAGGTGTTGCCTTGTTGGAGCAAGTCTGTCACTGGGGGTGGGCCTAGTCAGTGAGTCTGTCTGTCTGTCTGTCTGTCTGTCTGTCTGTCTGTCTGTCTGTCTGTGTTTCTGCCTCCAACTTGCAGATCAGATGTAAGCTCTCAGTTCCAGCACCATGTCTGCCTCCTGCCATGTTCTGCCATTGGGTTAAGGAGTCACCCGTGGAAACTCTAGGCAAAACCTCAGTGAAATGCTCTCTTCTGTAAGCTGCCTTTGTTGTGGTGTTTCTTCACAGGACCAGAGAAGTAAGCCAAGTGTGTTGCCTGTGTGAGTACCACCTTCATGCTTTGTGCCCTTAGGGTCAGCGGAGGGAGCTGGATCCCCCAGCACTGGAGTTATGGACAGTTGTGAGCTGCTGGGAACTGAACCTGGCTCCTTTGCAGGAGTAGCAGATGTCTTAACTGCTGAGTCATTTCTCTAGCCATCGTGATTTCCCCCCTCCATGTTTTCCTCCAAGTCTCTCTATGTATTTCTAGTACTTGAACAGGAAACTCTATTCTCCCTACGATACATTAAAACAATTATTACTACTGTGTACATTCATGTGATGTGTGTGTGCATGCAAGCCATAATGTTCATGCTGGGAGTCAGAGGACAACTCTGTGGAATCAGTTTTCTCCCTTTACCTTTATGTGGGTTCCAGGCATAGAACTCAGGCAGCAGGCTTGCACAGCAAGTGTTTTTTTCCATTGAGCCATCTCCTTAGCCCTTTCATGAAACATTTTAGGAATACTAGTGTTTTGTGAGTCATATTCTAGAACGTTATGGTTTCAGATAGGGTGTAAAGTCTTAGACTAGATATGTGAGATAATTTCAATTTTAACTCAACATTTGAAGTTACGTTCTCACTCATTCCTGTTGTACACTAGGGCTTGAATTGAACATGTCTTAGTGGTTTCATCTTCAGAGAGATGGTAGGTTCTCTTTTCCTTCCCCTCCCTCCCTTTAATGTTGACACACACCCACCTGCTAGACAAAGTTGAGTTGTAGGCCTCTGACAGGGAATCTGGAAGTCTAGACCCTGCTTATCCCTAGGACTCTCTAATTTTGTAGATCCTGATTGTACTAGCATTGCATGGAACGTACAGCCTAGCTTGGACAGAAGGTAACTGAGAGTTTGGCTAAGAGAAGAGGGGGCTAGAGATGGGAAAAGTTGATGAAATTATTTTTGGCAGGAGTTGGAACCAAAGCAGCAGGAGAGAGTAAGTTTTAAGACTTTCTGGCAAAGAAACTTCCTAATCTGTCACTGAGTATGTGTAAAAAAGTGATTAGTAGGTCTCTATATTTATCATGATTACTCACAAATACGTAATTTACATAATATATACAGCACATTAAGTACTATGTCACCTTATATAATGTGCACATTTATAATATATATATGCATGTTATATAATGCCAGTCTGGAGGCTCTTACAGGTTCTGCCAAGTATTTCCTAATTTATTTGGCAATTTTAACGTATTTTTTTTCCATCTGTAGAATGAACTCTCCTGAGAGGGGTTGGTCTGTGACCTGAATATAATCGTCCTATGAAGTCTGTCTCTGCTCCCAGCTCACTGGGGAAACCCCATGGAAACCTCGCCACACTGAGCTACGATTCCTAGCCCATCAGCCCTGTAAGAACAAGGTGCATTGAACGCTTCTGATTTCACTGTTTTTATTGCTAGTGGGGTGGAAGCATGAAGGCAGGTGAAAACATGTCTGCAGCATGGAAAGAATCCAAGCAGGGCAGCACAGAAGAGACCAGGCTCTCCCCTGACTGTGTAGCTTTAGGAAGCCACCAAAACACCAGAAAGTCCCATTCTCAGTAGGATGGAAATGATAATATTTGTTGGCTAAGAGCTTGGAGTGGGGGGTCACTAGGATGATGCACTACACAATAAGAAACACCAGTCAGGGTGTTTAAAAGATGACTTGTAAGGTAAGATTAAACAGCAACACAAGACTTACTAAGATTAGCAAATAAGAAGTGCAATGCCATGGCGTTTTGTACTCTGTGCCTCTTAAAGGATTGGGCTGGGTCTCTCATGTAACGTTCAACCTCTGCAGGGAGTCTCTGGGAATCCATTTCATCTATTGATGGTGCCGTCTCAACCTGCGATCTTGGGGTTGAAACACATACGATCACTTCTATTTGAATCAATGGTCCTGAAGCTGAACCTGCATCAGCTTCAGAATCAAGTGCCTTCCAAAATAGTACCTGCTGCCATTGGGGAACATGTTGGTCCCATCCCCAAGCATCCTATCAGTATGTTCTTTAGGTGGCCTGGGTTTCCACTTGCTCAACAGAAGCATGTTAGGTTGAGCAGGGCAGTCCCAAGTCTTAGTCCTGGATTCTAGATGATGGCTTTCTTCATAGGTGGGCTCACTTTGTACACATTCTTCATGTTCCCTTCCTTGTCCATTGCAAGATTAGAGGGAGCTCAGTAGAGTGATGTCAGTTGGGCCCAGGTTTTCTCTTGAGAAATCTGAGACAGAGATGAAGGCCCAGGTGAGCCTTCAGTGATGCTCTGTGTAGAGGTACCCTCCACAGAGGAGGGGGATGCTGGCACCAGCTGAATGAAGCCCACTGAACACGGCAAGACTGTTCTGTCCTGGTTGTCAACATCTAACAGAAGGTAACTCTTTACTGAAGTCATATCTGTAGCCAGGAATGTTTCCAAGTTAAGATGATCTGGTGACCATGATGAGGTGACATAAGAATTCAATCAGATGATCTGTCTGGGGCATTCAACTTCAGGCCAACTTCTCTCCATGTAGGACAAGCCATTGAGAACTTGGGAAGTAGCCTAAGTGTGGGCTTGTTCCAAGCATAGGCTATATGATAGTTCTTCCCTGACAACCTGAATCCAAGTGCAACCACTTCTTGGTTACCAGAAACGACCCTATTCCCAGATGAGGGTTCTTTTGTATGGTAATGATCTTCTTAGTAACATTCACAGTTAAACTTCCTTAGCCCGGACACCAAGGAGAAGCCTTTTAACTTTTACACAACTCTACTTTCTTACCAACCAATGGGGGAATGAGCCTTGAACAGCATTTGTTTCACGGTTGTTCCCAGATCTAGATCCCTCCTGTCAACCTTGCAACCAGCCAGGGAAATGTGTCTCTACAATCAAATGATGGTGGGAGAGTAGGGACCTTCCGTTTTCTTCCCATTTTCTGTTCCCACAATATCTTTGTTTACTTCTAGTGAGGAAAAGTCCAGCAGTAAATAAATATTTATATATTATATATAAACACATATGCTACATATGTACATATATAAGACCTCAGGTCCTTCTGTCACACCATGAGAGTGGAAAGTGCAAAGAAACAGGTAATCTCCTGACAGGCTGGCTGGTCGTTTTCCCAGCAAAGCCCCTCCCTCTCATCATCTCTGCCACTAGGGCTTGGGATTCAAATGAGAGACACACTTTGACTTGTGTGGTAGTGAGGGGTGGGGAGTATTGGGAGTGGTGTTTTTCCTTTCCTTTTTACATAACATTATGACATCAATCTGAAAAATAAAGTCCTCGTTCTCAGCTTTCCCTCCCAGGTGTTCATAGGAGCTATGAAAATAAATACCACATCTAAAGTACGCTGCCCAGGCAGCCTTGTTTGTTCTCTGAGCAAACAGCCACCAAGAGATGCTTCAGGAAGCGAACAAGTGCCCATGGACAGCAGAGAGACCCAAGAATGGAAACAGTTTTCCGTGGCCTCTCGGCTTTCCTCAGCAAGTGAGGGGAGGAGCTGCTGCTGGGAGGACAAGGAAGAAACCATCGTGTGCTGGCTGAGCCCTGCCAAGGGTTTTTGCTTGGAGAGCTAGAGGCTGTTTTGTTTCCATACAGAAGGACTTTTGTGCAAAATTTCTGGGTTGGAGCTCTTTCCCTTGACCACATCCGATCTCACTGTAGGCAGGAAACCTACAGCCTGGAACCTTACAGGAGTGGAGAAGAAGAAAGGGGATTTCTCCTTCAGGCTCAAAGTCTACCCAAGGCCTGTGGGAATGTGGAAGTTGCTGTAGGAGCCAACCCATCCTGGTGGGCCCTGAGTCCATTCAAAATATTTCGTGGGTATTGGCTCTGTTAAGAGAGGATCCATTTTCAAAATAGGTAGACTTTATGGCAGGATGACACTTTCGTCTGGAAGGGTGGCTTTGCTCCCTCTGGCTACAGGTGTGTGTGTGTGTGTGTGTGTGTGTGTGTGTGTGTGTGTGTGTGTGGGCGCGCGCGTAGATTCTGCTTTCTCTTCTTGGTGGAGCTGGTGTTTGTTTGGCACACTGTTTAGTCTTTTGAACGACTTTTCCTCCTCAATGAAAAGAAACTGCTCTTCTGGGGAGGCCCCATCATCATAGGTGCCTGGTTTTTGTGAGTGATTTTAATCTGAAATAAAGAAACAGAGTTAAATTAGTGGGAGAGTGAGCTGTGGAGAAGAAGACCAGCTTTGGGCTCAAAGGAGTCCCAGGCAGAAGGACAACTGTCCTTGAACAGTTTCAAAATTGGCAACTTGACCCTGACTGGGCCTGGAGCTTGGCACTGCTGGAATCGAGGGGCGGAAACACCGGGGAGACAGGTGTGAGCTTCCCACGGGGCCATCAGCTCGCACCTGTCTTGTGCCCTTGCTATTCATAGATTGTCAGAATGTCACAGTCAGAGGAGACCTCAGGAACTTTCCCATTCATCCCTCTGTAGGATGGATCAGGAAGAGGAGCCCAGAGCTCTGTGGGGGACTTAGCCTAGCTGAAGGTCACATGGTGGGGTGGGGGTGGGGGCAGGAGAGCTATAGTGCATGTCTCCATGATCACAGTCCCGACTCAGCCCAGGCAGCAGACATATGTAACCAGCTAACCTGAAGGCTTCAGTTAGCCTCCAGCCAAGGAACCTCATATGGACCTTTCCCAAATGAGTCCCTTAGGTACAGACAACCCTATTTTCTTGCATAAGCTTTTTATTATTTAATTTTAAGGTTTATGATTTTATTCTATAAAATATTCCATTAATTATAGGCATGGCTTCAAAATGCTTAATTCCTATTTGAGTGTGGCCCGGTGACACTCCCACACTAATAATCCTCATTATCATTCCATCGACATTTATCGAGTATGATAGATGTTCAGAGTGGGTGGTTGATACGGGAACAGGAGGTACCTAAGATTCAAAGACTCGGGCGTGGGGCCGTGTACGTCTATTTCCTTGGTGCAGAACTTTGGACAAATAATTTATCATTCAGAGAACAGTGCTTGCCAAACTTCAAAGTGAGGATAACATTGATACTATTTCTTTACACAAAGATCAAATGACAGGCTGTCAATGAAAGCCCATTGTAAACTGTAAAACGGAAGGGAATGACTAGGTGTTATATTGGAGAGAAAGAGAAGAGATGCCAAAGGAGACAGAACCTAGAAGCTCACAACTCTATGAATCTAGTCTTGCTGTTTTCTACTATACTATTGAAAATGACAGCATGACCATAGAGAAAAAATAGAATTATTGAAGAGCAACCCATCATCAATTTTGAGTTAATGTAGGATTAGCCAAGGGGTGTAAAAAAGAAATTAAGTAAGGAACAAGAAAGGTCAGATAAGAACAGAGAGGCCCCTTACAAAAGGAAAAAGGGCATGGGACCCAGGGACCATGTATGAACAGGCTAAGCTGAGGGCAGAGGACTGGGAAGTTGGTTGATGTAGGGCTTCAAAAGGGAACATCAAGTCTGGGTTCCTGTGAAGTAATCAGCAACTACAAACCATGGCTGAAAACTAAGATGAGCGAAAGGACCGGGCAATTATTCAACAGCTGTCATCAGAGTGGGTTAGGATGGAAATGTCTGGCTCTGATGACTACTGCAAGGCTCACATTTAGAAGGCTCCAAGAACGGGAAAGGAGAGGATGGACAAGAAAGACACTGGACAACCATCCCAGCCTGGTGATAGATCTGAAACGACCGTTCTGCTGGCTTCCACCAGCCTGGAGATGGTGAAGAGATGAGTCAGATTTTCTGCCAGAGAAGCGGATCAAGAATCCATCCAACACTACTTTGTATTGTGCGCTATACTGCAGTTGTTATGTTTGCTCCAGCCCTGATGGAGGTGAGGCATAAAAGGGAGTCGAGCAGCACTTCTCCATGGCCTGCCCTCTAGCATGCTCAGCCAGTAGAGATTTGTGACGCAGGCTTTGGGATAAGCCTTCTAGAACTGCTGAGCTCAGATGCTCACTTAGATATCCCTGAACTCACAGGATGTTTGCTGGGAAACTGTGCCGGGGAAGAGGAACCAGGCCAGAGAAAAGAGCATTTTCCTGGCACTCAAGGTGGCTATGTTTGGGGAAGAAGGTGGCAGCTGCACACAGCTGGCTATATTATGAGAGAAGGCCCTTGCTTCTTTCTCTGCCTCTAACTGAACTAAGACTTGCCTGTTAGCACCTCCAAAGTTAGCAGAGGAAGCAAAACTCAAGTGTTTTGCAACTTTATTATTATTATTACTATTATTGTTATTCTAAGTTGGGCTCACTGTGTAGCCTGGCTGGTCTAGAACTGTCTTATGTAGCCTAGGTTGTCCTCAAATTCATGGGGATCTCTCTTTATCTCCATCCTGAGAGCTGGGACTCTAAGGAGGCTCTGCCACATCCTGGCTTCTCCACAATCTTAACAAATGTGCCGGTAGGATAGGTGTTTGGAATGTCTCCTTAACAGTATACTTTGGTCATGTTTGAGGATTTGATTGCTGCAGATAACTGAGGGATGCATGAAATCATTTCCTCATTTTGAGTAAAAAAAGATGTCAGTCTGTTAGCCCCAAGTCAGAAGGGCATGAGGAGGCAGTTTGAGATGCAGGTAAGCCCTCTGTCAACCCTGACTGGAAGAACACCCTATGTTTCTTAGTCAAAGCTTAAACTTGCTAGAGAGAGAGAGGGAGGGAGAGAGAGAGAGACAGACAGAGAGAGAGAGAGAGAGAGAGAGAGAGAGAGAGAGAGAGGCTCTGTTGTTAGTGTTCTAGAACTGATCCAGTACTCCTGTGTCATAGTTCAAAATTCCCATAGCTTGTGAGTTCTCCTTTTTTTCCTTTTTCTTTTCTTTTAATTTCTTTCCTTTTTTTTGTTTTTTGTTTTTTGAGACAAGGTTTTTCTATGTAGCCCTGGCTGTCCTGGAACTCACTCTGTAGACCAAGCTAACCTCAAACTCACAGAGATCTACCTGCCTCTACCTCCCAAGAGCTGGGATCAAAGGTGTGCGCCACCACTGCCTGGATGATTTTTCCTTTAAATGGAGTGAAATGCTAAGCTTCACTCCTGTTAGAGATTGCCTTTGCTGTACCAGTTCCTGAAAATCAATGCATTTTATGACTTAGGGAAGCAATAAAGTTGTCCCTGGATGTTGCCATCTGAGAGCAGATGCCTTAGAACTAGAAAACTACCGAAGCTGTGAGTTTGAAGCTTTCCTAAATCACATGGCAGGTGCCCCAGGCCTGGAATGCAGAAGGGCACAGACCCAAAAGAGCTGAAATGCTCTCTGTGACATTTGAGAAATCAAGGTAATTTTCTTTCTTAAAGTCATCATAGAAGAAGGTGGGGGGCTTCTAACAAAAGAGAGGGTATCATCTTTTATGTCTTAGCTATTTCTGCTGGGGGTGGTGGTACACACCTTTAATCCCAGTGGGAGGCAGAGGCAAGCAGATCTCTGTGAGTTCCAGGCCAGCCTGGTCTACAGAGTGAGTTCTAGGACAACCAGGGCTGCTACACAGAGAAACCCTGTCCCAACAAACAAACAAATAATCTTAGCTATTTCTGGGTTATTCAAGATCTTGGAATCCTCTTTCAGGAATGTTTCCTAGCACATGACCCTTGTGACAATCTGTGATCAACTTGGCAGAATTCAGAATCATTGTATCCTGACTATGTTAAATACAGGGGTAAGACCCGCATATCATGGCACCACAACCTGGCTGCAACCCTGGACTGTGTCAGTGGAGAAGGGAGCAGGGCAGGGGAGTGCATTCATCTCTCTCTTTTTCCTCACCGTGGATGCCATGTGACCAGTTGGTTCATGTTCCTGTTCCCTTGACTATACCCTTGAACTGTGAACCAGAAGCTGATTTTATTAAAATCCCTTAAGTTGATTTTGCTAAAACATTTCATAGCAACAGAAAAACAAACTAAGACAGGCTTCAAATGTAGTAGGTAGGTACAGCCAGTCTATGCAAGAGTGAGGCTGGCTGATGAGTGGGGAGTTTAACTACTTCAGTGGTTCTCAAAGGTTGGTCCTTGAACCTACAGCATCAACATTTCCCTGAAATTTGTCAGAAAGTCCAATTCTTGGACATCAAGACCAGCTAGATTAGAACTCCAAGAAGTGTTCCATAAATTTTAACCCCCACCCCAGTCCCACATTTACTCAAGTTTGGAAGCCACTCTTTAAATTTTGCTTTTTGAGGCAGAGTCTCATGTGTCCCAAGTTGGCCTCCAACTCATTACGTAGCAGGTGATGGTCTCAAACTTGTGATCTTCCTGCCTCCACCTCCCTGGTGCTGGGTTATAGTGTGAGCAATGATGGTGAAGCATGGGACACTATTTCACAGCACTGTGTAAGGCAAGCATTCTTAATAAATACATATGTTACACATGTATACATGTTTCTATATATAATCAAGTATCTGGTCATTTTGATATCATTTTGCCAGTGCTTTAATGTCTTCAGTATTTAATTTTAAAATGAAAGTTTATCTCTAATTAATTAATTTAACATACTCAGTTCTGAAGAGCGAATCCTGGGCCTTATATATGTTAGGAAAGCATTTGCCCACTGAACTACACCTCCAGACCGTAACATTTTATTAAATTGTACCTTCAATGTCTAAAAATTATTCCATTTGATGAATAGCATGTAGCTTTTTAAGAACTCGTCAGGGCTGGAGAGATTGCTCAGTGGTTATGAACATTGCTTCTCTTTGCAGAGGACTTAGATTCAGTTTCCTGTACCCACAAAGTGGCTCACAACTCTATAACTCCAGTTCCAGGGGATCTGGTACCCTTTTTGTCCTCCAAGGGTATCAGGCACGCACACAGTGCACACCCAGGTAAAACATTCATACACACAAAATAAATTTCACAAAAATTTCTAAAAACATACCTCCTCACTAAACGTTGGACTTTTGTGAAAATTCCATTTTTTGGGGGGGTTATGGTGCATGAAGTAGAAATTGATAATCTTATACATCTATGTTTATATGTTTATTTTATGTTAATGAATGTTTTACCTGCAAGTCTGTGTGCCACGTACATGCCACATCCACAAAGGCAAGTAGAGGGCACTGGATCCCCAGGAACTGGAGTTGCAGATGGTTGGGAGCCACCATGAGGATGATGGGAACCGAACCTGGGTCCTCTGCAAG